TATACGTATTTCTGTGACGTTTCCTTTTACTAGCTTCGCTTATTGTTTATAATATCTGCTCTCTATTGCTCTGGTAGGTCTGTTGCTTGCTTGTTGGTATTAGTTGTGGTGATGAGGTGGTGGTAGCGATGTCGATGGATGATGATTTTGATGATGCTGACGACTACGACAACAACAGCAACAACTACAGTGGCGACAACGACGGTGGAGGGGCGTTGTTTATTGATTGTGACCGCGGGAAGCTTTTTTGGATGAATGAATGGCAACAGTGCTGCTGCGGCTGTTGCTGTTGTTGGTGGTGTTGTTGTTGTTGGAGCTGTTGTTCTTGTTGGCGGTGGTGGTGATGATGATGCTGTTGTTGTTGCCGCTGCTACTGCTGCTGCTACTACTACTACTACTACTGCCGCTAGTTACGCCGCCGGTTTGTCCGTTGTGTTGCTGCTCCAGGTGAAGGGGGTATGAGGTAGCGGTAAGGAGGAGTTAAGGGATGAAAGGCGGAAGGGGGAGGGGGTTGAGGAATAGGGGAAGAGAAAGGAAAGCAGGCTGATGGGCAACTGATGGCTAGTTGGTTGCTTGGGCCAGGCTTGCTTGTTATCTTGCTGAGCAGCTGGCAAGCGTGTTAGCCAAGATGCCAACCTTGGTTGTTAACCAGTTGCTAGAATCGCTGAGGGTATCTGGAGCTTTGCCTGGGGGATTTGACTGTGAGATAGCTGTTTGCCAATAATCGCTTTTTTTCTGTATCTTGTTGTTGTTTTGCTGGACATGTTTGTGGTGGTCCATAGGGCAGATTTTTTGCCGCCGCTTTCAAAAGATGTTCTTGACATTTGAAAAGGAGGCGTTTTCCGTATTTAAATAAATAGATTTTTTTATGGCAATTTTTTGGTTGGAAAAAAAAGAAATTTCATTTTTTCTGTTGTAAAGAAGAAGAGACAGAAAAACAAGATTTTTTTTTCAGTAGTTTTAGCCGTTGAAATTTTATCTTTGTCTTTGTTATTGCTTTATTTATTATTTGTTTTGCTTTTTTATTTTTTCCTTCATGTTCTTTCACACTTTGCTTTTGTGGTTGTAATTCTATATCTTTGGTTGTTATCTAAGGGGAAGAGAGAAAAATTCGTGGAAAAGTTTTAAATTTATTAAAAGAAAGTTTGTTATGTGATAATAACAAGCATAGTTGCTTCACAGATATTTTCTGAGTTTTAGCATTTATTGTTGATATAATAACAAATTGAAGATTATTGTGTTCCCCTCCATCCATCCGTTGTTTCATCTTCACTTCTCACACACAGACACGTAACCAGGGACAGACTGCCGTTCGATACCCGTGGTCCAAGTTATGAGCTGTTTTCTCTCACAATCGGCCTTGTCTTGGAATGAATGAATGAATTCCTGGTGCTTTAAAATGTGTCTGAGTCATCATTATCGTCAGCACCATTACCATCGGAACTATCGCCATCGTGTTCGTCGTCACCGATGTGGTTTTTGCTGTTTAGCTCTGAAAGAGTATATAGGCTTAGAAAAAAGAAAGTTTGGTGACAATAACTGAACAAGTAGGATGGACGTGGGATTTAGGTGGAAAATCAGAAGCGAAAATTTCTGTTCCCTGTATCATCCATTCAAATAATGCTTTTTGAAAAAATGATCCGGTTACTGCAATCTTACAGCTGTGGAATTACATTAATCTGGTTATTTGTTTTCGTTCTTTTGCTCTGATTGCTACTTTTTTTTTCATTTTTATGTCATTTCTTCTTTTCTTCTTTTGTTTTTTTTTTTTTTTTTAGAAACTTTGGTGTGTAAAAGAAAAGGAAGTGTATGGCGTTAATTTTATGAGTTGATTTGCAGGAAAATAAGTGGTACTAACGATGCAGACCAGTTTAATGGCCAGTGATATTCCCAGACGGCTAAATTTGTTTGTAGCTGTTTTGAATTTAGTGAAAGAATAGCAGCAGGAGAAGAAGGGTAGGCAAATTTTCTATCGTTTTAGTGATGTGTATGTGTGTGTTTTTGTGTGTGAGTGTTTGTCGTTTTTGCCAGATGGGTTTTTTAGTTTTGGCATTGGTTTTCTTTCGGCCTCCCCAAAAACCCTTTAACGTATTATCAAAATCTCTTTTTTTTTCAAACTTTCATACTTATTTTTACTACCAGATGACGCTCAGCTCGTTGTAAGGACGAAATTGGTTTCGACTACTGGTTGATTGGACTAGGCAGGCTTATATATGATACATCTATTAGGACATAATGCAGCGTGGAAGTGTTTAAGTATAAGAATGTTTGTTGGCTTTTCTAATTTTTAGGAAGTGAGAGGAAAGACAAAAAACAAAAGATGAAAAATGAGGAAAGCCTTGCTTTAATTTACATACTTAATTTACGTAACTGTAGTCTTCCAATTTGTTGGTGACGTTGTCGCTGTTTTTTACCAGCTGATTATTTCCAAAAAAATGAAACCCAGACATGGGTGTTTGGATGTATCTTTTTATTTTTTTTAAAATTAATCGAAGTCTCCTGCAGCAGGTGTGTTACTAGTCAAGTTGAAAGCGTTTTTTTCGTGCGGAAGATAGTTTGCACTTTTTTGTCTTTCGCACACTGATCTTCATTTTGTTGTTTGGCGTTCACCAAATACTGAATTCGATATATTAATACCAGGGTAGGTTATAAAATTTTTGATTCATCGTATTGTAGGAAGGTGGCCAATTTTGTATTAGATGTTTTGCTGGCACGTAAGTTCCATGTATTTTTGCAAGTCTTTCAAGCTTTTAACCCAAAGAAGTGATGAGTTTGGAACATGCAACAGATCGAAAAATCTAGAGAACTTTCTAACAACCTTGCTAGTTTTTTTAGCTGTTACTTTTTTCTTTTTATTGTTATAATTATTATTGCTTCCATTATTATTTTATATCTTCTATTTACCACTTTATTCCGACTATTTTCTAGGGAAATTTGATGGATGGCGTTTTTGAAAACAGCATTTTGGCAAGAAGAGAACCGAATGATTTGGATTTTCAAATTTCTTGCACTTGCTCCCTCTGTCATGCTTTTGATGTTAATCAAGTGTGGTGACCTACGTACATTTGCTGTTTTCTCATCGTTATTTGAATTACAATCAAAACGCACTTTGCTGTTTTTTAATCAGAATTGGTTTTTTTTTTTTTTTGAAAGTTTTTACTTTCTTAATGAATTCTGACTAAATTCTGCGCATTTGGGGAAGATGATAAATCAAGTTTTTTTACTGCTTTCTTGCTGTCATTTGGTTTTCTCTCTTTTTTATGCATTATTTTCGGTGGTTTTTCTAATTGTACGACAGCGAAAATTACAGCTGTTTTTTGCTACTCGTTCCTGAATCATTTTTCAAAAGCATGTCATTATATGTTTTTCCTGTATTGTAAGTCAAGATGTTGGTAACTGCAGAAGTGTGAGAGGAGAGCAGGGATTCTGCTTGCCTAAATCTCATGCTACTTATAGAAATTTCGTCGTCCGGTGCGTTTTTATATGCGAGATCGTTCGTCAGTCTAAAAACTTGCAACTGGTGAACGGCCTAGTATTTTTAAGAATTCTGGTATTGAAGGTTAGAGAAATTGTTGAATTATTCATTTGTAGGACTAGTATAAACAAAATGAACAGGAAATAAAACTAAAGTTTATATGAATGTTTAAGTGTTATTAGGCGTAGTTCTGTTCGTATGTCAGTTATTATTTTTTACGTATATTGTAAATATATGTGACATGTGTGTCTGTGTAAGTTGGCTGTTGGGCGAGAGAGGAGTTCGTCATTTTTCATTTTTTCCAGTGCTTTTTTGGTGTCTAGTAATTCGTATTTTTCAATACAGTTTTTTTGCAACACCGGATCTTTTTGAAGTGTATGAACTGAAGATTGACGACATAGCAATTCAGGGAAGAAGCCAACACGAATGAGGAATTGAAAAGTGGTGGGCAAGTCCTTTCTTGCTAACCTCAGTCGGTTTTGGTTTTTATCTTTTGTATTCTTTTTTTATTCTTTATCTTATTTTTTTCTTTAATGAAGGAAGAGGAGTCACAAAGAGGATTTTTTTACGATTCACCCGCCTCTAACATAGTAGATTCTCATTATATTTTTAAGTGGTTCTGCGATAGTCACCTTGAAGGAGAAAGACCGAAACAGTTTTCAGTCAGAGATATCAAAGGCAGAGTTTACTCTTCTGTCGATTTTGTTTCAGCACTTTATTCATTACATGATGAATTTTAGCACTTAGGGGTTTTGTTGGGAAAGTCGCACTTAAGAGTCATTGCGGTTTACTGATTGGGGTTGTCTTTCTTAAAACCTGCAACGAAACAGACTTTTAATCTGGTGAATTTAAATAATTTTACATTCGGTTTTGGAGTATGTTTTGTTTTACTATTTCTCTTTAAACTTTCGTTGTTATGATCACTTTTAATTTTTATTTTAATGGGCTGGTCTTTTTTCTTTAACTTTTTGCGGCAGTGTAGTTTAAGTAATTTTTTTGTGTTGCTTCATCAATCTTTTTGTGCAGAAAGCTTGCTAGTTTGCTGATTTATTACATCTAACGTCAGAACACATACTCATGGGTGACGAAACTACTGCATAATTTTTGTATTGAACTATACGGATTTTTTTTTTTTGTTTCATTTGTATTTCTAATATGCATTGTGTTTAACCTATGAAGGCGAAAGCGTTTTTATCGCTGTAAGGAAACATCAAGTATCTATTGTAGTCTCCAGCGAAGATGCAGCGATTTATTATGACATGTTCCTGCTAAGCATATTTTACTTTTATTTCTTCAGCTCGTGTTTGTTTCATTTATTTGTCGACTCGTTGTAAGCTTGATGAGGCTTAATACAGCAATTATTTTTCGTATTTTAGAGCATGCAAGCTTTATACCAATTGTCTGCCGGTGCCACACCACAAGCTTTTCAAACTCCAGGACAACCAGCAGTACCGCTGAGCGCCATGCAACAGCTCGTACAAAGTGGTGTTTCTCCCGCTTTACTGCAACAAATTCAAGTTGCACAGCAACAGCAACAACAATTGGCTGCAGTTTCCGCAGGTATTACTCTTTCTTCGGTTGATTCCGTTTGATATCATGGTGACATTGATGTAGATGATAACAAGTGTTTTCATTGTAAATCTGCACTGCAGTAATTACACTTATTATTGCTTAGTATTGAACTTTAAAATTAGCTTAATTTTTCTTGGTTCTATTCTCCCTGTTTTCAGCTGCTGCGATGCACGCGTCGACGACTTCTGTTGGTTCATTGCCAACGGTAAAGGAGGAAAATCAAGACGAGAATCAGTTATCCAGGGACCAGTATGACATACAAATGCAGATGCAAATGGCTGCTGTGGCTGGTATTGGACCACAGATGCCACCTTCGTCAACGGCTGTAGGTATTTTAACAACTTTTTAGGAAGTTGCCTGAGTTCGGTATTATGATGTTCGATGTTTTTTTTGTGATGTAATCATCCACTGTGATAAACAGAGGGAAAACATGATTTTTTGGGTCAGCCAACTCTTCCTTTTCTTTAATTGTAAGGGGTGATAGAACAAGTTCTCTTTTTGTCGAAATACTGTGCAAGATTGGTCAGCGGCATTGAATTGAGTCTGATTACTTTTTATCTTTCTCATTAAGTTTTCTGCAATAGTGCATAGACGGGCTGATTTTGTTTACCTCCTTTATCTTTGCAGAACACACGTACCACAAGTGTCCTCCAGACTCCTGATCCATCTACATCAACGAACACTACTGATAATGCGCCAAAAAGGTTGCACGTTTCTAATATACCGTTCCGGTTTCGAGATCCAGACTTAAGGGCTATGTTTGAAAAATATGGCCCGGTGACAGATGTAGAAATTATTTTCAATGAACGTGGTAGCAAGGTATTTTTTAGCGTATGGTTAGGGTTACCATTTTGGTTTTTCACTTATAATTCTTTTTTCTTATAGGGATTTGGCTTTGTTACCATGGAGAAAGCTGCGGATGCAGAAAAAGCTCGACAAGAGTTACATGGTTCAACAGTTGAAGGCCGAAAAATTGAGGTTAGTATCAGTTTTTATAGTCTGGGCAATCATTTGGTCTTGTTTCCTCAAAATAGGCTGTATTTTTTAGCATCAGTTCATTAAATTAAAATTTACGACTTTTGATTAACGAAAGAAGCTGTAGAACGAATGTTATGGCGGCTTTTAGGGTCCATACTTTTTTGGCGTTTCATCACTTCAGTAGTAGAAAAAATATTTTTACTGACTTCAGCTTCCTTTCATCGTTTTTCTTTTACTAGTTACAAATACTTTAGAGTATTTTGCTCTTAAAAGCCGCCATTTATTTCAATTGTTTTAGCAAAAGATAATTAGCATGACGCTTCACAACATTTTTCACTACTGGAGGGCACTTAAATTGTTTCAAATGTGTTTTATTCTGCAATGCTTCCACCAAATATTTTTTGCATCCAAACTGCATATAACTAATATTATTTCTTGATCTTGGGTCTTGTAGAATGAACTTTTTTGTCCTTGGCTGCATGATCGAGGTATACATATATATGCAAATAGTATGTGTATATATATA